AACATAAACGGGTAATTAATCTTCTTATTGATTTTTTTCCTCCATCCATGAGCAGGTTTATAGTGTTGCTATTTAAATATATTTATGCGTGTATGTCTGTGTGCATAGTTACACTATACCTATATGTAAAAAAAAGCTAACTCAACATGAAAGTCCCACACATTGCATGCATCAATAATATGAAACAGTCATTAGACATTAGGTACTTAATATACTTATTATCATCGGTTTAGTAAATCATTATTTTGTTTCTTACCATTGCTCTCTTAGTCACTTTACCTTCGTCCTACCTATAAATTATAATAAGGTATATATACTTAATACTTATATAATAATGATAATACCTATATATAATATATTATTATTATTTATATATTAAATATAGGTACCACCTATAATTGATATTTGTTTAATTCCAATATGATAATGAAACCAGCAAGCAAATATTAGTATAATGGTGCCAGAGGACAAAAATCCGTGGAAAATTATATACAATACAACACTACCTACCATTAAACACAAACATAATATATATTATGGTATATAGGTACGCTTGAGTAGTAATTGGTCTGTTGCGGAAAGTCACTCAACCAGTACCTGTTGATAATTAAAATAATAATATGATGGTTGCCAAATCGCATATTATGCAATTAAATTATCAGTACATATCAGCATAGAATTGCATTTAATTCGAACGAAATACCGTCATATTATTATCGGTTTAACATTAAACGTGAATCATATATGAATAAATAATAGATTAATAGTAGATTAATATATATACATTTTTTTTCTGCACAGTTTCTGTGTATGAAATAAATAAACTTTTTTCCACAAAATACAAAACATAAAAAATCATTCATAGAAGGCTGTATAGGTTTTTATAACAGCATAATATTATACGTACTTTTTGACGTTTAATATAACATCTCGGCACGAGCTAATAATATAATAGGTACCTACGTAATATGTATATTTAGTGCCTATATCTATAGCATATACTTATATTATATACCTATATACGATTATAAAAAAAATAAGTTATCCGAATGGTTTTATCAAGTTTGTAGTCACGCAATTCACGGAGGAATTTTTTATGTACGAATATAATGTATTAAGGACATAGGTACGAATTTTATACCCACTCTGGCACTCTGCTTGTCGTTTTTTTTTTTTTTTTTATTACATCAAATCACTCATACTAGCTCGAAGAGCGCCCTCGAAAATAAGTTTGGAAGTACTCAATGCCCCTCTAGAAGTCACTTATTATTTTTATGCCGGGTCGCGTATACCCTCACCGCTGCAGTCCCCAGTGGCGGAACTAGTAAGTTATAAACCACCGTTGCGTGGAACGTGGACTTAAAGTCGATATTATTGAACACGAACAGTAGGTTTCCATATAGGTATATATTATATTACATACAAGTATACAACTATTATACCTATATCATATACCATCAACACTCGAGGGACGAGTTGAAAGAATTACTTTTTCCCGCGTTTGAGTGGAGTTTGTGAACATAATATTATTATAATATAACAATATCGTAATTATTATTTGTAGGTACTATACCATAATGTACATTTAGGGTGTTGTCTGTCCCTGTGAACACCCTTTTACTAGATTTGATCATACATACCCCTGCCTAAATTTCAAAAAGCACATATTACATAATTACACATAATTACTTGAAATATACTGATTTGTCAAATTTAAAATTCATCATTTAAAATATTTATATAAATTAACAATATAAAGTATGAGTATGCCTAATTAATACTAGGGAATAATAAAATAAAATTCTTTTTTTTTTAGTTCAGTTAAGGTTGCCACTTCCAGAAGTTTCTGGGAACGTTTTCATTTTTATGTATTTTTTTATCTAATAGCAGGTAGGTGCTTTATATATATAACATTATATAGGTGATAGAGGAGCGGCGGTATCTATGCCGAAGTAAATATTTGTCATTAAAACAAGTGCCTAAATGCGAATCGTTCCATATTAAATTAATTTAACTTTTAGTAATCTTCGACAGGATGTTTAAGACGTTCAAGTAAAAAATTCTGTAAAAAACATATTACAGTTGACGTTATTAGGTCTATTGGACCAGTGTAATTTTATGCGTTTTAGGTGCAATGGTGAAAACGCACACGGTAGCTGCATTGAACAAAACGCTTGTGCTTAAAATGGGTGAAGTATATTCAAACTATCCGGTGGGGTAACCACTAACCGCAACAAAACAACCGACTGCGTCTGTGCAAAATTTTACCGCACGCCTTTTGTATACCGGAATATAGACAGAAAGGTGAACACTTTATATTCAAAAGTTACATAAACGATGGGTACATCTTATATTCATTTATAAATTGGGCCAGTAATTGATGGAATTTCATGATCGTATAAAAGCGCAGGATTCTTTAAACATTACATTCAACCATAAATTGCACTTATACTTATACTTATAGTACATATACATTATAGTTTATACATATTATTATACATAGTAATAATATATTATATTATACCTATAATAATTTTAATATATCATATTTTAAAATTTGAAACACTTACATCATACATGACTGGATGGCCTATAGGCTATAGTCGTGTATGTATAATATTATATAATTGATGAAATATAATAGGTACCTATACAATTATTATGTTTACCTATTTAGTACCTGTACTATACTATAATGATTATAGTCAATGACTATGTGAACCCCATGTGCTTCCTCACTACTCGTCCACTCTGCAGCTGTGGTAAAATATTATTACTTGTTGTTGTGTCTTGTGTGCATGTAAAGGTATTATAACATAAGTGCAGCATTGTAATAATATAATAATATGAAGTAGTAAATTAAACGTAAACAAGGCGTCTGTATGACGTATAATGGACGAGATTTCGTTTGTGTGTGACACCTACTTACCTACCAAAACAAAATATATACGATTGTGTGTGTGTTTTTTTTTCGAATAAGTTACGATGGTCGTGTTTTATATAAATATATACAATATAATATCATCCGATGGAATAGAAGACAAAACACCATAAAGTGTATTTGTGTCGTGGGAAATAGGAATGCGCATGCACATCAGTATACACTATACCTACATCATATGCACACAATATAATATATAATGATAAATTAAGCACATCATATTAATATTAGCTTTCCAAACAATGCATAATATTTTATGAAGTATTACACGACGCGTGCAACAATAACTATAACACGAAATTTTGTGTAAGTGATTATGCGTGTGTGTGCACTAATGCCTATACAATATAATAGTGGGCTTGTTACACGTTTATAACGCGGACAATGGGTCCGCCGGTTATGAATCATTTAGAAGAAGTATATAGGGAAAAAAGAGTACCTACCTATAACTTAATAATAAATTATATTTAATAACAAAAAAAATCGTTAGCCGAAAACGCTTAAACGTATAAATGTATTATAATATAATCTAACTGCCTATATGGCTAAATGTACCTATATACGCTATACCTATGGGCTATGGGTACAACATAAAAGTGAAAAACTTATGAGTTATATAAATTAATTGATATTTCTATAATGTCATCGATCCTCTCGTGTGAGATTACTCATAAATCATAATCTATTAACTATACAGGTGTACAATAGTTATATATTAGGTACATAATACTGTAGGTATATACCTATTAAACTAGTATGCTAGCATCATATTACTCATATTAATATACTTAAATAAAAAATATGAAATAAATAATAATACATGTCGATTGATCAAAGTTATCTTAATACTGACAAATTTAAATTATTTATTACCTAGTTTATTTATGTTTTTATTTTTTTTTAACTATTATAGGTATTGGTTTGGTACTATATATTATAATATGTTATATAGTATCTACTTGGTTATAATAATTGGTATATTATACTTGTATATTTCTAAATTACATTTTTCATAGACCATATTTGTATTAATCTAGGTAGATAGTATAATATTATAATTTATTCGTATAGTATGAAGATGAAAAGCAAAGAAATGGTCTTGAATCGGACGACATTAAGACAGGCATGAAGAACATAGCAGAGCGAGCATTATTATCGAAGAAATGATGACCAACAGAAAGTATCACGGGAGATCTTAGAAAACTTTGTTAAAATAATAGCATAACATAATTTTAGTGTTGATAAGCCAAATTCGTTGATAAGCCGGCAACATATTATGTGTATGATGAGTACAGACTACAGAGTAGTTGGTGTAAAGTGAAAAAGAGTATACCCACTGGCTACTACAGTGGCGTACGCAGGATTTTTCAATGGAGGGGCTTGAAAATTTTTATTTTGTCCAGTTTAATGATTTCAGACGTTTATTTGAGGTATTTTAAAATGTTTGTAAGGTCTTTCATACAAGTAGTTCATACTTTTACCGAAAAATTACAGATAGTTTTAGGAAAATTGGTATGCAAATACAATGTTTTTTCAAAAATGAATTCATTCTGGTAAGATGTATATGAAATTTATGTCTTGCTTATTATAGTTGATAGTTTAAACTTGATAAATATTTTTTTTTAAGTAATACAATACGGCAATGGAGGGGGGGGGCTTCAGCCCGTTAGCCACTGGGCTGCTACCTATATGTATAATGTTCAGGTTTGATGTGCAGATCCGATCGTTTTCAGTATTCTGACCAGGGTATTTGGTCGCGCAAGTGCGTCCATATCTCGCATGCATAAAACTATAATTATTATTCTTTTTTTTTATTATTGAACCTAAAACAGCCATTAGCTGATTTAGGGGATTATGAACTGTTATTGGTAAGGTTGGTACTGTAAGGTAAGCAAACACGTGTATGTGTGGCAAGGATTTTACTACTAAGAACCCGGGTGGTCACCCATCCGGGAACTAGTAGCAGCGGGCGTTACTTACTGTCAGTCGCATTGCACGAATGGTAGCAACCAACGCGCCAAGCCAAGCCATCTATAATTATTATTATAATAATATTATATTATATTACACTTGCCGTACCGCAGTCGTGTAGATTTGTAAAGTTGGCCAGCTGCGGGAACGGTGGCAAGACGGCGGCCGCGGTGGTGACGTGATGGTGCGGCATGTAGTGGAACGGCGGCAGTGGGGCGGACGGCCCGGGAAATATGCTGGACGCGGCTGCTGCGGCCGCGGTGGCCACAGCGAACGACTGCTGTTGGATTAGGTACGCGTACAACTCCGCGTATCCATTGCTGCTGCCACCGCCGTTATGGTGATGGTGGGTGTTGTGGAGGAACTGCTGCTGGTGGTGTTCGGCTAGGTGAAGCGGTTGTCCCGGTAGCAGACTCACCGGCGGCGGATACCGGCGGTGAGGTCGTTCGGTCCGCGACGGCGGCGGTGGTGTAGGCGACGACGACGACCGTGCGACATCCGGTAGCACGGCCTCGTCGTCACCGCGGCCGTCTCGGTCGTGGTGATGATGGTCGTCGTCGGATGAGTGACGTCTGCAGGCGCCGCCCGGGGCGATGATGCTCTCGATGGTGAACGGTTTGGGCTTGTGCTGCCGGTGCAGGTGGTTGGCCATTGATGTGGCGGTCGCGACGGCCGCGGTGGTGCCGCCGATGGCTGTGTGGATCGACGGCGGTGACAACGACTGTTCGGTGCCGATCGGCGACGTCGCTCCGTCCGCTGACATAACAATATTGTTATTCCGGTAGGGTGGAAGTGGCGGCGGCAGCTGAAGTCCGATCGGCAATGGTCGCAGTGGCGGCGAATCAGTGTCAAAGTCAGCGGCGGCGGCGGCTGACGACGACGGCCTGCCGAACGTAGCTTCCAACAACGCCCGGTCGGCAGCCGGCAATTTGAACCTCTTGCGACGACGCAGAAACGATCCGTTCTCGAACATATCTAGGGCGTGCGGGTGCAGGGTCCAGTACGCCCCTTTACCCGGCTGGTTCGGTCGCCGGGGAATCTTCATGAAACAGTCGTTGAATGACAGATTGTGCCGCAGCGAGTTCTGCCACCTGAAACATGCAGTGCACTATAGAATAGAATTTAGTTTTTATATGCCTAATATTAGATGTTATAGGGTTGGATAACTAAATATTGTTATATAATTTATAATATTAGTTATAACTTATAACTAAATATTTGTGTGGATTTTAATGATCTAATAGAAATTTAAAAAAAACTGGGATAGTACCTAGATAACCGCTCTGCTATACAGTAGGCGACGATCATAGTGTAAACCTATCGTAGTATCGTCAATGATTGCATCACTGCAGTAATGGATGTATTGAATTTAAATTAATTTATATAATATCATAATATGATTGTATGAATAACCTAACCTATCTACGTATACGAAAAACGATTCTGCTGAGCGTGTACGGCCTAAATTTTTGGCATATCCATGGGTTGCTAATGGGTTACTTAATTTAATGATACTATATTATTGAAATTTCAAAAAAATTTTAGTATTTTTTTCATCCCATAATTTTAAAAAGCACCGAGAAATTTCTTGCTTTTGAGCCTCCAAAGTACAAACTAGACCCAATTTACTATCAGAAACCTCCCTTGAAATTGATGGGATCAGAGCATTTCTACAACAATAGTGCGTCAGACACACAAATATTAGTTTTTTTTTTAAAACACACATCGTTGTAAAATTAATAGGTATACATCCTTCTCACCATTTAGAATCAAAGTTACAAGTTCAATTTGTATTTTTGTTGGTGTCAGTATGAATGATATTTTGTAGTTGAAAATCATTGTTATCGACAAATTAAAATGTTCACCTGTGACTATTATAATATATAAATTGTAAGTATAATATAATATAGGTAGGTAAAGTGGAGTACGCAGGGGTAGGGTTCTAGGGTTCTGACCCCCCCCCCCCCTGAAATATCTTCCTTTTACAAAAAAAACCTTATTTACCACCATTTCAATACACAGAGTTGATCAATGGTATGTCATTTTTAATAAATATAAAATGAATTGTTAGATAGACAATCAACAAAGATGTCGGTAATTATAGTTTCAGTTTTTTCTTTTTCTAATTTAGAACATTGCTAAACGTCTGCCATAATCGTCGTATGGTGTATCATCGTATCATCGTCCATCGATTATTACCACGCGTTTATTACGACCCGAAGAAGCTCTATAGATGACTAGGTTAAACACTTGAGTGTTCTAAATATAGACTAACTATAATTTATGATAACCAATTTTAATATAAAAATGATTTAGCAAAAAATAATGTAAATTATTTACTCATGTAAAACCCTAACCAAACTAAAATCCTGCGTACGCTACTGGGTAGGTATAGGTACCTATAATATATTATACATGGAATTAAATTATTATGTAAACACTTAAATACTTAATCATCCCATCTGTAACTTTAACTATAATAATAGTAAAACTATATAATATGGTAAATATGTATGTATTACATATTTACATGTATATTATATTGTACGAACCAAAATGTTTGCACCACCAAAAGGCAGGAAGTCATTGCACCCACAGAAATACAGAAGTGATTGTACAATATACAACAGAGATTTAATATACCTACATATTATTTAACAATATAGATTTGCATGTCAATGGTTTCAATCACCTTGGATTAATCTTTTTATATTTAATTTACGAGTTAGTGTATTTATATATTAAAACTAGGTATATTATATAACTCTTAATTTAAGTGTTCGATATAGGTATAGGTAAAAATATCAGTTATCGTATTTGATATTACTCGTAACTCGTAAGTCCTATGATACATTATCCCATATCTATCATATTATAATATATATAGCAGTTTTTTTTATTGATCTCATATACATCTTGGCGGCAGAGGTCATTAGTTAACATGTCTTATAGTAATTAATATTTACAATTATTGTACATTGCATTCTTAAATTGACAATACGATTAAATGCTGTCTATTAAATTAGTTTTTTTTTAGAAATTTCAGGATTTTCTTGTTCTGATCTGGGTTGGGTCCGAGAGTTGAGTCTAGAGTTTTGGTAAATTTGGGGTCCATTATTCTCTCCTGTTTGTATAGACGGCATTCCGTCAGGTTATGTTTGACCGTGAGAAGTTGGCCACAAGTTCGTCTTTTGACTTGAGAAATCCAGTAGGTAAGGTAGTCTAGTACGGTTGTGTGAGTGTTGGAAACGGTAATTTTTGCATATTTATCCATAGTTTCGTTAGGTACCCATATATGCTGGTATGTCTTGAAATCCATAAGAGTATAATTTGTTTTATTTTAGATTCTGAGCGTATAGCGTACCTATTGGTTTTAAATTATGTGAGTGTGTTTGTTTTTCTGTCTGTCACGAACATTTTGGATAGTAAGCATGCTTCGATTTTTGAGATCAGCATCTTTTCTTATAGAAAAGTGAACCTAGTTGGAACTTTTGGGAGGTCAAAATTGAAAATTCCAAGTAGTTTTAAAAACCGTGGATAAATTCTACCGACAAATTACGAAAAACCGTTAAAAATGGGATTTGAATTTATAACGCATTTTTCATCACCATATCAACGAATAAAAAATAATATAATATTATAAGGAATACGCTAACCGTTCAGAATCGTTTTTCGTATACAATGGCTTATCATTGTATTCAAATATAACACATTCATTACTACTACTGTACAGCAGAGTGGTACCTGCTACTTGTCCACCTTTTTTATACATTTTATCTTCATCAAGTTTATTGTGGATGGAGATTGCGATATCGCAATTGGGTTGGATTTGTTTTGTATGCTATATTTTATGGAGCTGAGAAAATCACTAATACTGTATCAATAAAACTGTGCTTCGAACAGAGAAGATCGAATACACTCATTTGGAAGTTTGAATGTTCAGTTTGTATTTTCGAATACGATTGCGATCCAACCCTTTCGTATGATTTGGAGGCATCGGTGTATATTTCTTGATAATTCTTTAAGTCATATCTAGGATTCCGTAGACATTATATAGCTGTTTGTATTGTATAGTCTGTGGTGCAACTTGATAATAAGGGCGAATATCGTATACTATGTCATACTATATGAGATCTCGGAGCCCATTTGAATTGCACACTCAACACTCCTGACAATTGTGCCATTTCAGTGTATAGTCATCACGTATTAGCTGCACGGTATTTAATATTTATACTTTATATTATATATTATTATACCACTACAACCTTACAATTTATGTATAGGTATTGAAGTATACGTGCAGTTTTTTCAGTACACAATCATCCACTATATAGGTGGAGGTATCCATAAGTGTATTGGAAAGTCTAAATATATTATAATAATTTAATATAGTTCCGTGTATCATACAGTATTGTATTAAAATAAATTGCTCAATTTTAATATAGATACCGTTAACCAAAACAATTTGATATTCATAAAACAGGAGACAAAACTTTTTACTTTATATAATATATACCATGGTTATTACGCGACACTTCTTATAAGTACAAAATATTATGTAGGTATTTCGGTTCTGTTATTACATTAAATATTTTTTAAATATTCATCTGAATATACAATTACATTTAGGCACCAAAAATATTCTCAAAAAAGGTGAAAATGCAGTTACAATTATTATAGAAAATAATGTGGGAAAAAAAGTATGTTTTTAAAATATATAGGTACGCAGTATTAATAAATTATAGTTAAATTTGTCGACTTTACTTTTTTCGTAAAATATAACAAAGCATGCAAAAATATGCAATCAAATTTTATATTTAATTCCACAATTTCACTTAATATTTCAAATATAAAGTTGTTATATTGAGATGTAAAATTATGTAGTTATAGGTAATCTCGCACGTCCTACACATATTTAATAATATGAGCAAATATTGATTATTAAATTAAAACTTGCCAATAGGCAATAACATATTTTCTATTATATCATACCTATATATATGTATGCTTTATATTTGAAGGGCAAATTGATTTTTTTTTTTTATTATAATCGCTTGTATATCACGTGAAATATCAATAATAAAAAATACATAAGAGTTATTAGTTATTAGTTATACCTATTGCAAATAAAAGATCAGGACAAATATTGATATATATTTATTATTAAACTTTATACCTACAATATAGTCAGCTAATAGGTACATACAGAACAACGATTTTTTTACGATCATCATTTTCTTCCCAACCTGATTGCATACTCGATAATAAATGGGCGTGATCGATAAATAACGTAAAAATATAATTCGACCTTACATTTTTTGCATCAATAAGTTCAATACGTATGGTGGTTTTTCTTTTTATCAGAAATGCAGTGCATGCGTGTACTAATTGTATTTAATTTAATCTAGAATAAATGCAATTCATCATTATATTATATAGGTAGGTATACCTACTATACGTAGGTACCTACCTATATTATATTATTGTGCGAATACGATGATTAGGTGTGCAATGTGCAATGTGCAATGTGCAATGTGCATAGGTACACCTATATGTTTTCTTGTATATGTAATAATGTAATATTTATTTGTGTAGATAAAACTATATATTTATGCATGCGAGTATGCATTAGAGTCCATTTTTAAGAGGACGTAGCACCCGCATGTGTTGTCTCCGTCTTACACACGTACGACATAGCAAATTTTCGTTCGCTAGTTTTAATAGGGTGCTGTCATTTTTGATTTTAGAGTGAATTGACCTATTATCAAACTTTTACGTAACAACATTATCTGTGCTCCCTAGTTGATTTTTTACGATATTTTAATTTTTAAGTGAGTTATAAGCATTTTCAAACATTACTATTTTACATACTGATAACTCACTTAAAAATTATAATATCGTAAAAAACCAACGAGTGGACACAGATAATGTTGTTACCTAAAAGTTTGATAATTTGTCAATTCACTCTAAAATCTAAAATCACAGCACCCTATGGAAACTAGTGAACGAAAATTTGCTATATCGTACGTGTGTAAGACGGAGACAACAAATGCGGGTGCGAGGTGCTGCGTCCTCTTATAATATATACTGT